CCCCAAAACCCCAAAACCCCAAAACCCCTAAAGATCAAAATAGATAAAGTATGTTTGATTACTAATAATAATTATAAGGATTTATTTTATTTTTATAGTTTATATTATAAATCAAGAGGTGATTGAGTTAAAGGCTTAATTATTCTCTTCTTAAAATAGCTAAATAAATATTGGGTGGAAGACATCTAGCCAAAGAGATTTCAGACTCTTCTGAATACAATATCTGTTACGCTGCTATCAGCTGATACTATTAAGTCATAATTCTCAACTGCAAGTTAAACATATTCTTCCCATGTGAATCTATCGTTGTTACTGAGTCTGCATTAGTTGACAAAGAAATCTCCAAAGTATCTATTATTCTAAATAGAAAATAGAGAGCGGTCAATAGCGTAATCTACATTATTGTTTAGAGGACCTTCTGGGTGGAATTATGTTCCGAAAAATGGATAATTCTTTGCTTCAATTGTGTTAGCAAACACCTTTCCACCATTGTCAACAGAAGTTGATGTGACAGTGTAGAAATCATTCAGCTTTTTATCGTTTTAGAAGGTGGCTGGACTAATTCCCCAAATGTGATAGTTGAATAAGATAGGGTTTTACTCATATATATAAGCTTGACTTCCCATTGATCCGAACATCTTAGTCGAAGTTGGGTCAACTTAGAATTCTAAGTTGTATAGATCATTTCTTGAGTCAAAGTTTTCAAGAAGAGTATCTGGAGTATCAGAGACAAACATGGCAAGGTTTTCGAACCCAAGGCAAGTTCCCCAAATTGGAACAATTTTACCTTTGTCATTGAGAGTCTTGACTTTTTCAAAAACTTTTTTCCCGAAATCTTCATACACTGTTCTTGTTGCTGCTCCTCCACAGAAGAAGACACCTTGAACTTTATCAATTTTAGCTAGTTCCCTATCGTCACTGGTAGTATTGAACAGAATTGGGATTACTCTAGCACCTGAAGCTGAAAGATAGTTGACATAAGCTTTTCTCATGTATGTGCTGTAGTCATTATATCTATCATCATCCCTCATCGCTTGGTTCAAGTATTATGAGACCACTCCGATCACTGGTGCATCATTAACAAACTTAGGAGCATTAGCTGGGATATTGATAGTCTGTTTGTTGAGAGATTCAGCATGAGATTAAGCCCCAAGTTGAGTAGCGGTTGCAAAACCAGTCTAAGACAAGATTAAGCCTAAAGTGGTTATGTATGTAAGCATTAAATAAAAGTTTATTTATCAATAAATATAGATATTAATCAATGAAATATGAATTTAAATAGTTTTATCAGAAGATATCTTCCATCATTTTTACTCTTGAGTATTACATGGAACTTATGGGGTTTTGGG